TATAATAATATATATACATATACAATACATATGTATATATACATGTATGTATGATATATTCCTTATACATACATATGTATGTATATATATACACACATATATCCATATATACGTATATATATGTATATATACATACATATATATGTGCATACACACACATATAGATAGATAGATTAAGATATACATACATATGTGTATGTATATATATATATACACACACACATTTATGTATTTATGTATGCATTATATGTGTGTCAATATAACGTTACTTGCCCTTTTTCTTTCTCTCTTTCTCCATCTCATCATTCCTGCCTTACTTTTTTCAAGATTCTAGAGTACTTCTCTTAATAAGTAACCAGCGTTTTTCTTAGCGGTTATAGGGAAAAACAAAAGAAAGTTTGGGTTCATATCTTCATTCGTTTTCCAAAATTCTTTTAAAAATAGATTATAAAGTTTTTAGTATTAGAGCTGAACTATTTTTTCTTTCATAATAATCAACACAGACATTAATTATGATGACAGTCTATTGATAGCATGGCCTTATTTTCTTGACAACGAATGGCAAGTGAAATACAAAACAATTTACGTTGATTGCCCTTAAGACATCTGCAAGCCATACGGGTTGAAATGCGTCTCAACAGACTACGTGAGGGACATGTGTGTATAAAATATTTTTTCAATATTGAACACGATGAACCATTTGGCAGTTTAATTTATTGGCGATAGGAGTCGGAGGTGGCTGATCCTACGTCCCCAGCGGGCGGCCCTCCGAGGCGCCGGCGCCTCGCGCACGGTGACGGAGGCGGACGAGACCACAGCCCCGAGGAAGCTCACTTTGCACGTGTATCTCCCGGCGCTGCGCTCGCCGAACTCGTGGAACACGAGGTACGAGTGAGGCAGGGAGGCCCCGACGCCCAGCGAGGACACGCCCTGCCTCTCCGCCGCCCATCGGGGCACGAGGACGTCGTGGCGGTCGAACCACTCCACGCCGTACAGATGCAGGAGGTCGAGCCTCGTTCCGCTCGCCGTGCAGTACACGAAGGCCTCGGCCATGACCTGCAGCTCGATCACGGAGCTGTTCATGACGACTGCATGACCCGAAGGACCCTCTTCCACGGGGAAGGACCCTGCCGAGGCGGCCAGGCACAGGATGGCCGCGGCCGAAACAACGCCACAACTCATGTCGATGGAACAGCTTCTGGGCGCAAGACGAACAGCCATTTGGTCAAATGCTGCGAGTGACGGGCACGGTCTGCGCTGAGTTAGGTCCAGGATGTATTCCGAAAGCAGTGTCGATGTCCGATGCTGCCGTCGATACAAAATCTCGTCCAAATGGCTCTGCCCCGAGTGAAAGGAATCTGTCAATTTCGTTTTCGCGTTGATCAGATTCAGCGGGTCTGCTCCGAACAAGGGTCAAGGTCAGCTCTGCGCAGCGATGCCGATCTGCAGTGTTATATAGCAGCGTAAATCGGATCCACCTGTTGCAATTTCTCTCCATGGTTCTGCAAACGCGATTCGAACCAATTCGCGACGTGCGCTGTTCCGGTCGTCAGCCGGCGCCATCTTGCACGGCGTCGGCGATGGCATGTCACGCTGCTCTCCTCGCCGGCGATATCAGTGTGCGGTCCGCTTATCGGCCGCGTGGAGGCTCCCTTGTCGTGTGGAGCGAAATGGTGATGCACTCCCCCCTCCCCCCCTTTTCTCCCTGTCGGTCGGTCTCTCTCTTTTTATATATATACTTGCAGAAATGTGTGTATATACACAACTATATACATTTACACATATGTGTGATTATATATATACATATATATACATATGTTTGCATATATCTATATACATGCACACACACATGTATATATACATACATACATATATATATATATATATATATATATATATATATATATATATATATATATATATGTGCATATATATGTATCTATATATGTATGTATGTATGTAAATACATGCGCACCCAAACACACGTATATATATTTGTATATTTATGTATATATACATATATATATTTATATATATATATACACACAACATACATACATACATACATACATACATACATATATATATATATATAATATAATATATATATATATATATATATAATATATATATATATACAATATGTATACATATATAGTTGTGTGTGTGTATTTATATACACATATATTTATATATAAATTCATATATATGTATATGCATATACAGTATATGTGTATGTATGTGTATACTTATATATCTATATCATCTATCTACATGTGTGCGTGAATGTGTTCATATCTAAACATATCTATCTCTATATATACATATATATGTATATATGCATATGCATTTATGTATAATCATGCCTGTCATATGTATAGATGCTTGCATTTTTGTTCGTGTCCTGGTGTGCATATATATATAAACATAAGCGTATTAATATATTTCTGTCACAAATATGTAAAGGTTAAGTTAAAGAAAAGTAAAGAGAAGAAAAGAA